GTTGGGGTGCCCCACCCCCAGCTGACTGCTGGGAGTGCCCCAGCCAGGGCACCCCGCGGTACCCAGCACCACAATCCTTCCTCCAGCCCCATCCCTGCCTCCATCCCTGCGCGGCTCCTGCTCACTCCAGCCCGGGGCCGCGAGCTGTGTCCTGCTGCCACGAGGGGGCACGGCGAGGCCACCCGAAACGGCGCTTCGTGTCCCGCCGCTCACCGCTGGCCTTCAGTTTGCTGTCCTGCTGTTCTGCCCCGCCAGGCACCCGCGGGGGCTGCACCCTGCTTCCCCCTCCCCCGCGAGACGTCTTGGCTCTTTCATGTCCCCGGTACAGTGACAGCCACGTCCTTGGTCCTGGCTGTTTATCTGGCTGGAGGGGACAGGGTCCCATCCCCTGTGTTCAGCTGTGTCTCCAGTGCTTGTCCCTGGCCCCCATCCTGTCCTGGCCCCCTTCCAGGCAGTGGGGAGGAGCAGGGGACAGCGAGGACAAGCCTGGCTCCACTTGCTTTCACATTTACAGTACTCTGTAGCTCCCACTCTTCCCACCGTTACAGTGCTGGAAGATGTCCCCTGCCTTCTCCATTCCGTCCTTTCCATAGGACTGTTCCAGTGCACGGTCCCATTTACTGCCACACTTCGAGGTCAGCTCCAGCTTCATGCTACATGGGCACGTCCCCACTGCCACCCCCAAGCTCGGGTTGGGAACTGCAATTCTGGGCTTGTGGTTGCCACAAAACCCCATCACCTTTGTGTGAGAAGCACAGTTCCCACCAGGACTAGAACAACTTCGCTTCTGTTCCCAGGTCAGAGCCAACCAGAGTGCTTTTTGCAAGCACTGGTGCACCCTGGCCACCTTACAAGAGCATCACGAACATCTACCACACACACATACACACACCAAATTCCTCCCCCTATCTTAGCTGGAGGACTCCTCCTTTACTTCCTGGCCCCAACCCTCTTAAGCAACTCCAGGCTGGCAACACTCCCTTATGCAACTACCTTCCCCAGCAGGATGGAGGCGTGGGATGGGAACCAGGTCAGAGCTGCTGTGACCTACTGCCCTCTTCCCTGGGGGCAGAGGCAGCAGGATGTCACCTGGAGTGTGGCCCAGTCGGCTTCCCCTGGGATCTCTCTTGTAACCAAGGGGGAGGCACATTTCCCCTGTCCCCATCACCCCAGCGTCAAGGTAGAAACCCTGTGATGGGCATGGAAGAGATGGGAGATGGGAGGATGATGCTGGGCTGGCAAAGCAAGGCTGGCATGGGTACCACACATGCCCTGGGAGATGGGAAGGCAGAGTACCAGGCATTAGTGGAGATGGAATCACCTTGGCGTGACTGAAGTCTTCCCAGCCACACAGAGGGTGCCTGCAGCCCAAACCCAGCTCTGGTTTGGAGAACCATGGTGCAGATGGCCCATCAGGCAAAGGGGCTGCCAAGGCTACATGGGCCTGGTGAGACAGGGTCCTCACCGGGGAGGAAAGTGAAACCTCTCCCATGAATGCAGCTGGAAGCGAAGCTATGTTTTGTAAATACCTGGGGATCCTGCACATCCTGAAAGAAACAAGTTGGAGGCAGGAATGTTCCATAGACAAGGGGGTTTGGAAAGAGCCAGACCCAGGGTCAGCACTCAGCCAGATGCTTGATGTTGTCAGCAAGGTTGTCCTGGGGGCAGCCCTGGTACCCCCCAAAGGAGCTACTCCAGCCACAGCAGCCCCAAGAGCAGGGAGGTCCTGCCCAGGTGCTGGGGAGAGGTTTGGGCTGTGCCCACCATCCAGCTGAGGTATGTGGAAACCTCCCACAGGTGGAGGATCAAAGGCTGGGGCTCAGTCTAATCCCACCAACATGACATCAGATGCACAAATTGATGGGCACCAATGGGCACCTATGTTTCACAGTTTCAAAACAAAGAAAGCTCCCAAAGAAGTCCTTGGTCATGGCCTGAAGTTAGTTGGAAACAAAGAATGGAAAATGCTGGGGGAAAGGGGGGCAAAGTTCCCAGGACAAGGAACTAAGGTGGCTCCTTGGAAGGCTATGGCTCAGGTTGGCCATGCCATGGGAAATGCCTCCAGGTGGGTCTTTGTTAGACTCAGTTTCCATGCCATGGCTTTGGGTAAGGAGCACGGGGACATTGTAGGGTGCAGGAAAGGCTTCTTGGAGCTGAGCCTGGCTTAGCTGAATCACAGCCACCTGTGGATCTGCCCTCTCTGAAGAGGAAAGCCACAGTAACAGCTCCCGCTCTGGCAGCAAAGCTCAACCAGAACCAGTAGAACTGTGCAAGTTCAGTGGTAGGACACAAATATTTGGTGCTGGGAGTAATTAATCACTGTCCTCTGCAAGACACTTTGGGTCAAAAATGAGAGTTAATTCCAGTCAGTACAACAGACTTCATCATCCTTGAACTGTCTCTGGCCCCAGATGCCAATGGGCTTCAGTGTCCCACATCTTCATCATGAAGAAGGATGAACCCATGTCCACCCAAAGGCTCTTTGAGGACATGGTGTGGGAGAGAGAGAGCCTCATGTACTTCAGTCAGCAAGGGACTAAAAGGCATCCCCTTTCCTGTGGGTTTGATGGTCCATGCTAGGTATGCAGCCCACGAGTGACATCCCAGGGGATTCCAGACACATAGTCCCCTCTCCTGCAAGGACTGCTCCTGAGGAAGGACTACACCCCATGGCCTGTGTGTGGAAGCAAGCACTGGCACAAATCTCCATCAGTGCTGAACAGACAAAAGTGCCCTATTAGGCGCTCGCCTGGGTGGTGTTTCCTGAGGAGATAATAGCCCTGGAAGAAGGACTTGCTGTTTTGGAGAAGATTAACTACCTGTGGGAGCAGCCTGTGGATGATTCACATCCCTCATGGGCTTAGAGACCCTGGAAATGGCTCATGGCACTTTGAAAACAATGTCGTGAATCTTCTGCAGATCAGATTAGGGAGTGGAACAATTATCTCAAAACCTGTTAGTCATGGGAGGCTCCATGATCTGGAAGAACAGCCTAGGGCAAGGGGAGCACTAGGAAGATGTGGTGTGCATGTATCCCTCGTCCTGGAGACCTG